GATGGCTTTAAAAGAGAATTGGACAAATTCATGGTGGAGTGGGCTATTGATGGCTACTATGCTCTCTGCCTCCATGGCTGGAGGCTTCTGAACACCAGTTGCTGGAAACCACATCAGGAGAGAGTTCACCTGTGCTTGAATCCTGCTTGTGGATTTCCCACAGTAATCTGGTTGGCCACAGTGAGAACAGGATGCTGGTTTTCAGGGGCCATTGGCCTGATCCAGCAGGCTCTTCCTATTTTCTTTGGTAAAGTTTACTTAAGCCACCATGTTTGGGTCTTCAGTGCCCACTAAAGAACTATTTTCAACAAAACGGAAAGCCAAGGGGAAAAGAGCAGAGGATGATCGCAACACTAATTTAAGTGTCTTGGGGTTCCTGACACAGTTTTCCCCACAACTACTAAGCCAGAGCACCTGCCCCACCCATGCTCAGAAGATGTGGCGTGGCAGAAAAGAGGCTAGTGGCTGCTTAGATCCCAATGGTGCCACCAACATCCAACACAAATATATTCCAGCATGTATGATGGTACTTTGCTTTAATGCTCATTCAGACACCTGGAATTCAGCCTTCAGGGAAGGAGGCTCTGCTACAAAGGATTGAGGGCATTGGAAATAGCTGGTGCACGGCAGAACAGTTGCCGTGGCTCTCCTTTCAGAGTGCTCCCCTCCCCTCCGCCTTCTTAGCAATTGCCGCTTTTGTTCTGTTCCAAAGAAGACAAGTCTGTAGTTGTCTGCAGAAGGCGTGCAGTCACCTCTCAGGGGCACATGTGGAGTAGGACCACTCAGATAGTACCAGCTTCAAAGGAAACAACGGTGAGGGCCAAAAGAAGACGAAGACAAAGAAAAAGAGGGAGTCCATGGAAAATCTTACAACTGAATTCTGATTTCAGTCACCGAAACTCTCCTAAGAAATGGCAATAACTAAAAATATATGTATAAATGTTTAAGCTTTCTTGAATGCCAGAACTGAAGGGTCCAAGCAAGGGGTGCCGCAGGGCCACCACTGAGAAGTCCCTGTCTTGCCATCCTAACAGGTTTCATTGGTCAGCTCACAAGTAGGAGTTCAGAAGCAAATAATAGATTACAAGCAAGTTCATATGCATATATTTCCATATTTCAAGTATATTTTAAAAATTGTACACAATATAACACCCCTGTAAGGCAGGTCAGTATTATTTGTTGTTGTTGTTTAGTTGTTTAGTCGTGTCCGACTCTTTGTGACCCCATGGACCAGAGCACGCCAGGCACTCCATTATTGTTTTATTATAAAAGGGAGTCTGAGAAAATAGTGGATTGCTTAACATGGCTACTGTGCTATCTCCTTTCTTATCTCTCAGTTCATCGTGTGGGGCCTAAGGTGGAGAAGAAGCTCTAGGGCAGAGCCCTTGGTGAGCAGTGGCTGGAACCAAGATGTGGAGTGAATCTGAAATTAGACAGTGGAGAAAAAGTGAAGAGATTTATTTGCCTTTCCTTTTTGAATTTGACAGTGCCAAAACATTTCCTTTGAGTCCCTTGGGGTTTCCCTCTCTCTCTCTCTCTCTCTCTCTCTCTCTCTGTCTGTCTCTTTCTCCCTCTCTCTTTATCTTCATTGACAGTTTTTAAACAGTTTCTTAATGTAGGGATGGGCGCTGTGGCAGTTGGGAATAGGTGTGTTTGTTTAAACGCTTGGCTAGCCGAGGGCGCCTCTGTTATGATCTCCTTCTGCTGGTTCTTGTTTTGCCTTGGTGATTCATGAGCCAGGCACGATGACCCCACAATAAACACAGAGAGAGGAGCAAATGAAAGACAAACGACCTGGAGCAGGGCTTCCAAGAAGACAACAAGGAGATCAATGTGCATCCGGTACAATGGCAATGCCAGAGGTGCAGGGGCCAACAAATATTAGTTCTGGTCTCATTCCTTTGCTGGGTAGGGGAGCCTGAGACCAGGGGACAGAAAAGCTCTCCACCCACACACTGAGACTGATGAGGAAACCGTCTGTGCAGTTCTTCTTTTTTTGCAATGGCTGATATCGTTCTCCCCCATCACCAGGCACTACTCTTTACTCTGGCCTGCAAAACTCTCTTATCAGAAGTTGTTGCTGCTGCAAGTCAACAGTGGAAAGAACTCAGAGTTATTTTCCAAGTTAGGAAAAACAGTGGCGGCAATGGGCTAGCAAAGTGTGGCATTGGCATGTCTGCCAGTATGTGGTACATTCAAAGCAGGGAGATTTCAGCTCCTGCTCCTGCTGCATTCAAAGTGCTTGTACCCTCCATCCTGGCTCTACATCCTTTTCTTTGCATTCTCAGCTTGGCAGCAAAAAAAAAAAAAAGTATGGCAGTTTATCCAACTCATGTGGAGCCTCCATGCAGGATACTGTGAAACTGCTTTCAGCCTGGGTGGGGGGCAAGTCACAAGTTATGCAGCCTGATCTCCATTATTGCCGATAATTTTGATGAAGTCAATGCAAATGTGGCCCACCAACCATGTCTGTCGGCCTGGCAGATGCTTGACGACCTCTCCCTGTTTTAGCAGCCCTAAGCAGAGAGAAAGAAAAATCTCAGACTGTTTATCGTGCCTCTGGCTAGGGATAAGAGGATTTCCCCAGCTCCGTTCATTTATTGATCTGATGCTTTCCTTTGCTCCGTCTACAATTCCTCCTGCATTCCTTTACTGGGGATATTTCTAAAATTAACACCAGAATTGGCTCAGGGGCAGCTTCTCCCCTGCTTTCTCTCCCCTCTTTTCATCTGCATCTTTCTTCACAGCTGCATCACTGATGCAAACCACTGAAACACTGAGAAATCACCACCACCCCTCCAGGGCCGGCCTGCCCATGAGGTGGGGTGGGGCAGTTGTCTCAGGTGTCAGACTGGGGGACAGTTGAGAACAGCGGCAGATCCAGGCCCTGACAAGCACACTGCTCACCACTGCTACCACCACCACCTGCTCCTCCTCCTCCACAGCCACCACGTACTTCTCTCCAACCTTGCCTTTTCCCTCCTACCTCAGGCTTCCTCAACCTTGGCCCTCCAGATGTTTTACAAGTCCCATGATCCCTAGCTAGCAGGATCAGTGGTCAGGGATGATGGGAATTGTAGTCTCAAAACATCTGGAGGGCCAAGGTTGAGGAAGACTGTCCCAACTCCGACAGCAGCTGGAGGTGGGGTCAGCTTTAGGGGGAGCAGCTCCAGTTTTGCTTCGAGTGGTGTAGTGTTTTACATACATTACTTACTTGCATCTTAATGGAACACTCCACGAAATGATCTTGATCCAACCATGTGCTTCATCACATCATGTATATTGTTGTGTAATGTCTCATCAATGCACCCGTGTGCATCAGGGATTTTTTTTAAATGCACCCAAAGAACCGCAAATGCAACCATGCAAACAATCGAACATAGATAGGGTAGACGCTTATGCTAAAGGGGGGAGTATAAATGCTGTTATGAAACAAATATGCTCATATTAAGATAGGGTGGTCATTTATGTTTTACCAAATAAGAGAAAATGCATTATCAGAAAAAAGAGGGCATAGGTTTGTGCAAAATTTGCATGCACTTATTTATATGTACAGGACTGTATAGTCCAAAGCCTATGAAAAAATTCCGATGTAGAGAATTTTTGAAAAAGCTTTCCTGAATTGCCACTGATCTCTCCATTGTTTGGTGGCAGGTCTGATGTTTTAAAGGCCTCTGTCAGGTGGGGGTAGAAAAATCTGTCAGTTTTGCTTCTCTCAGTTTCTCATTTTTCCAATCTTAAATTCAGTTCTCCATATTTCTAGAACAATTTGTGATTATTGTTATTTTTTTTAAAAATCGCCATGAAAATTAATAAGCCTTTTAGTGCAAATTTATCCTAACGAATACATTTCTGTATACACTTTGACTAACATACATATTTTGCAAGCAATTTATCCTAATATACGGTATGTTTGCATGTTATTTTCAGTAATATGTTCTTTGTCATTATGCACCCTTTCCCCCCAATGACTGAATTTTTGCAAACATTGTCTGCTTGAAGAACTGCATTGCAAAATTCTGAAAAGTATGGCTTTTGAGGGATGGCTACATTTCAGTGCCTGTATTATCTCACATAGTGTGAATTAGGTAGGTTTGCCTTTCCATGCGAACAGAATTGAATTTCTCTCCCATCCCTGGTGGCAGAACTTCACCTCTTAAAAGTCAAAGGGCCCTGATTCTGACCTCTGTCTGGCATCCAAATAACAGCTCATTCCTGACGCACCTCTACAAAGACCAAGTAATGCAAGGGGAAGTCTCTGTAGTGGAAAAACTTGGCATAAATAACTGGTGTTGACCAAGCCCCAGAATTGGTCACTGATGGGCAATGGATGTTGCAATAGTAGGATGGATTCCACAGATGAAATTGATTCCTGCTCTGCTTGGCTTCCAAATCTCCTGATTCTGTCTGGACTGGATATGGGTTGTTGTTGCTGCTGTTTTTCTTTTTGAATGTCCTGAGAAATGAACACAGATGTTAGTGGTTGCTGTTGCTACTGGAGCAAAATTGTTGGACTCACTCTGTGTCTACCATGACCTCATTATAGTAATCCTTTTAAAGTGTTATTTATGGGGGTTTTTTGGGGGGAGAAGCTTCTAAATGGTTTTTAGGGTTACCTCCTTTCCTATCTGACAGAGCCACTGTGCCTTTCAGCATGGGCAGAGGGTGCTTTCATGGTGTTCATGATAATGAGGGAAGCTTTGCCTCTTGTGTTCATCTATTTCTGATTTTATGTACTGTCAACACACCTGCATTGTTTCGTGATTTAAAATAATGAGTTACAGTGTTATAGACATGGTGGTACTTGAGGGGTAAGGAAGAGGAGTGGGAAATAAGCAAAAACAGGCACCATGGCTGTTGCATAAGTCTGTTCTGGAAGGGTCTGGGGCTAGCAAGAGTTCTCAGGAATGAACATCATTGAGAGCTCCATCTGAGACACATTTACACTATACGTTTCCCCACTAAGAATCCGGGAACTGTTAAGCGTGCTGGGAATTGCAGCTCTGTGTGGCCCTTACATGATACATAGCTCAGTCGGCAGAACACAAGACTCGTAACTTCAGGGTCGTGTGTTCAAGCCCCACATTGAGCAAAAGATTTCCACATGGGGGGGTTGGACTAGATGACCCTCATGGCCCCTTCCAGCTCTACAATTATATGATTCTCATTGTTCCCAAGCCTGTTGAGGTGATGGGAGACAAGGCCTAGTTGGTACTGACCCCAAGAAATCTTTGCCCAACCCCTTCTTTGTCCTCTATTAAGCAGGCTCTTAAGACTATTTCATTCTGAGGTGCAGCTCTGAATTAATTAGAGCCCCCAGAGAATGAATTCTAATTTAATGTTCCTTCTGTGTTTTATTATTCCATTTCATTGCTGCTTTGTTGTTTTTAGAATTGTATTGTAGATTTTCTTTGTTAATATATTTTTATGAATTTTTTGCATGAAAGAAAGGAAACTCAACTGGAACCCACATTATGCTTGCAGTAAGAAATGATTTAGTGGGCTGGTAGAAGGGATTTATTATAGGCTGACCAATTAACCACAAATCCTTTGAGTAATCATCTGTCTTTTGATATATTAACGTTAATTAAAATAAATTGGCATATTGCACATGGATGCCTTTTTTGAAAAAAAAGGAAGAAAGTGAAAGATAGTTTACTGCTTAATAAACAAAAGTGAGCACTCATTAGAGAGAAAGGTCATTGTTAATATGTTCTTTTTCTTTCCATAAGTCACCAGAGCCAAAATAGCTGCAAAACAACAACACCCCCACAGAAATTGAACATTCACAATGAAAGGGGACCCTCACTCCACTGAATAAACTACAGCTGTTGTTGATTAATCTGCCAATTAAAGTTTCATTTCCATCTAATATGTGTGCGAGCATACGTGTTCTTATGGACTGATATGTATCTTTCCCAACATTTTCTGTGATTGTTTAATTAGTCTCCTTGAAAATAAGGTGCAAGCTTTGATTCAGTGTCTGCTTGGTATATTTGCAAATAAGAGGCTGCTTTATAGTGAGTCAGACTAGTGATCTATGTTTTATGATGTTTCGTACATGATTTTTTACTGAACTTTTTGGTGCACACCACCACAATATTTTTCTTATCGACTGGCAGTTCATAAATAACCGTAGAAACAAAATAATAATTTATAATGCTACTTATAAACCATGAACTCAATACGAGGTGACTCCCATAAATGTGGGAGTTTACCTCAACGGCCAAGTTAACTGATTACATCAAAATGAAAGAGAAAAGACAAAGACAAGATAAATTAGCAACAAATTGGCAGCCATTTATTAAATACAGCAAGGATTCAGGGTTACGTCAAAATATATTGTGCTTTTACACTGTTTTGAATTCAGTTCTAGCAAAGATGACAAGATTATGGTGTAATATATTGTCAAAGGTTTTTGTTAGTCTTTTCCACTTTGTGTGTTGGGGGAGGGGAAGCAGGTGACTGTGGTTTCTATTTTCCTATGGTTTTTCCCCCTTTTCATTTCTTTACACGCACATACGTATCCCAAGCAAAAGACCTGTCTGCTATCACTACTTTCACTGGCATGGCTGCCCCTGGGCATCCAGCATGGTCCTTGAGGCAAAATGTCCCACCATGGGAATGATGGCATGAATTGCTGTATTGCCTTTCTAGAGCTTTCTTGCCTGCCCCCAATGGCTTCCTCCCTTTCCTCACATCTCTCCCCTCCTCTTTGTTCCCAGACAGCTGTTCCCCCGGGGCTTGCCTGATGAATTCACCTTGGTGGTGACTCTCCTCTTGAAGAAACAGACCAGCAAAGAGAACTGGTACCTCTTCCAGGCCACTGATCGTCAGGGGTACCCCCAGGTATACCACACTAGCATGGTGCATCCTTTCCAGGGCCTCTTGGCTCTTTCTGTCCTATCATGTGCCTCTTCTTTCCACTGAGGGCAACCAGCTTCCTATTCTCCTTCTGCCAGCCCCAAGCTTAATCAGATCAAGTGGAGGAACAAGGAACAAGTGGATCTGTTACCCACCTGATCCACATGGGCAAAGTTGCCAGTGGAGCTGCTGTACCTTGTTGATTCCAAAAGCTGTCGCCACCTATGCAGTTGCTATCTGCACCCATGCCCACTTATCTTTCTTTTACCCAGGAAATGTGGCACATGCAGCCTTCTCAAAATGGGTGCTCTCCAGATGTTGAGGGCTTTAACTCCCATCAGCCCCAGCTGACATGGTCAGTGGTTAGGGATGGTGGGAATTGTTGTCCTAAATATCTGGAGGTCATTAAATGGTGGGAGATTTCTCTAATGGGGCAAGGCAACATCATGGAAAGCTCCCAAGTAAGCAAGTTGCTCCCGTAAAGACCAAGAGTGGGCTGGAGCCTTCTATGCCTCCAGGGCAAGATCACCTCTCCAAGGCCCCAACCCAGGCAATGGAGGAACCCACAGTGGTGGCTCCAAACCAGACTGAGCAGTAGGCTCCTCCTGAGAGGATAAGCTAGAGTCAGACTCTCGCAGTGCTGCAGAGGGTGCCAGGATTGGAGGTGAACCTGCCACAGGAGTGAAGTGGGCTCAGTTCACCTGAGTGATATAAGAGAGGAAAGAGTGGAGTGCTGGGGTGGCTACATCACTGAGACCTTCCCAAGGATCTGACTCCTCATTTGTAATTCCCCTCGTTTGGTGCTGCTGGTCCAGCAAACCTAGCCAGCCCCTTCTTGTCTGAGTCACAGTTCAAGCCTAAGCTGCTGCCCATGAGGAGGATCCTTGCCATAGAAGTGAGCCTCACAGATTTCCTAGACTGGCCTTGTGTTGTGCTTTCACCATTGAAAGCTAGCGTGGGAGTGTGGCCTGGGCAAGGGCAGAGCACTGGATCTGGCTGGTTGCTTCCCACCTGAGCCATTTTGGCAGGTGGGAGGAACCTTTATTAGCTTTGTTCCCCTTGAGGGTTCCTCTCCCAGGTGGTTTCCTGGACAGGAAAAGTGGAGTCCAGCTATTTAAAGTTTCGGTTTAATCCTCCAAGCATTGATTAATCCTAACTTTTATTAGACACAGGAATTGAGGGGGATCCGGTTCCCCACAAACTCATAACAATATGGAATATCTCAAATGGCTAAACTAACTGTTTTTCTCAAGAAGTTATTTCAGAAAACATGCTGATCTAAGTTAATGATAATAATAAAGCATTCCTCTCATTCCTCTCTCATCGAGACCACATTTATCATTCTGTGTTCTTTATGATAATATAACTGTATTTTATATCTGTCACTTCCTTTAATAAAAAATAATATATAGCTAAAACAGACAATGATTCATAGTATGACATAGATGCCACTTGTGTTGTGGGATCTGATGGTCTGCAACATTAGATTTGACCCATTTCATAATAAAGGGTGTATGGACCAGAGGGAAGACTGCCCTGGCAAAAAAGAATCACAAGTCTTCTCTCAGCTTGCCTGCTGCTGCCACAATCCTAGTATCTCTCTGTTTAGTGTGCTTTCTGCATCTTTCTGTCTCCCTGTCTCCCCTCATGCCTTTCCTCTCTGCCTCTCTTTCTAGAACATTCTCATAGTCAGCGCCGTCTCCTTTCACCCCCTCAGCTCTCCCTGGGGATCAACAGCAAAGAGCAGAGCCTGGAGTTCCAAGCCAAGGGCCAGGACAAGGAGTTTGTCAGCGCCATCTTTGCCGGAAAAGGGGTCTCCGCCCTTTTCGACTTGAAGTGGCACAAAATGGTCCTTAGCATCCAAAGCCAAGTGGTTTCCATCCACATCGACTGCAGCTACATCTCCTCCAAACCACTGCAACCCCGCCGACGCCTGGCCAGGGAAGGCAACGCGTTTGTTGGATTGGATGCCGTGCAGGGTGCTCCTGTCACAGTGAGTCATGGTGGGGCTTTGTGAGCAAGCTGTGGCAAGCAGACCATCTCTCCATTTTGGGGCTGCTTGGCCTTTTCCCAAACCTAGTTGGGCTCAAACACACATTGGTACCTATGAAGACACCCCCAACTCTAAGGAATGTTGCTAACATTTTAAAAAAGCGTTAAGCTTCACTGGGAACCTCTCATAAACCTTCAGGTTTGTCCTGGCATTCTACCATAGGTGACATGCATACTTTTTGCTAATCTTACATTTCTAAGAAGAAAGAACCTCCAAATTGTCCAAAAGTTCACTTTACACAAAATTCAGTTCTATTGAAACTTCTGTCTGTAAGGGATTCTCCCTCACTCCCCAGAGAACAGGAGTTGGTGTCAGGATTGAGGCCACTAAGCTAGGTTGCCTTTGAACTTCAAGACAAAGCTATGAGCTAGGCTCATTTTATTCTTTGGGGGTTTCCTTTTTGTGATTTGTGCCAGGCCTATGCAGGGATGCAGGTCAGAGGTTCCCCATCTACAGTGACAGGCAGCAGCTCTCTCTCACCCTATCTCAATCCTACCTGCAGATAGTAAGGATTGAACCTGGGACCTGCTGCATTCATAGCAGATCTTCTACCACTAGAGAATCTGCATGGTGATAGAGCAAGAAATGACTATATATTTCCAGGAAGAGATTTTGAAACGCTTGAGCTGATCAGCCAATGCATAATTAACAACAAACGAAGCTATTTTGGTGTAAGTGCATTCTGCAATAAATCAGGGAGCTTTAGCAAATCCTGTTCTAAGCCAGAAGCCAGCACACAAAATTCTTGGGCAAGGTTTGGGGCCTTGGCAAGGACTACTGCCACCATCACCAGGCTGCTGTTATAAAGCTGGTTGAGGATGTCACTGGTCACTTCTACTGCTGCTAGCTGCTCCCCAGCAGCAGCTAAAATGGACTGTGGGGTGGCCTCGAACATGAGAACATAAGAAGAGCCTGGCTGCCGGATGAGCCCAAGTCTCTCCCAGTCCAGCAGTTTGTTTTCACTGTAGCCAACCAGATGCCCCTACGGGAAGCCCATAAGTAGACCCTGAGTGCAAGACCACTACTCTCCCCAAAATGATCAAAGGGATGGAGAGTGAATCCTCAGTGAGAAAAGGCTGCAACATTTGGGATTTTTTAGTTCAGAGAGAAGGCCATTAAAAGGTGATATGATGGAGGTGTCAAAAAATTATTCATGGCATGGAGAAAGTGAGTGG